AGGGTTTAGGGGGTTAGGGTGTGCGGGCGTGCGGGCGTGTGTGTGTGTGTCTGTGTGTGTGTGTGTGCGTGTGTGTGAGAGAGAGAGAGAGACAGAGAGAGAGAGAGAGAGATAGAGATAGAGATAGAGATAGAGATAGAGATAGAGATAGAGATAGAGATAGAGATAGGGATAGAGATAGAGATAGAGATAGAGATAGAGATAGAGATAGAGATAGAGATAGAGATAGAGATAGAGATAGAGATCGAGATGGAGATGGAGATAGAGATAGAGATAGAGATAGATATAGATAGAAGGATAGATAGGTGGATAGATAGACAGATAGATAGATAGGTAGATAGACAGACAGATAGACAGATAAGGACATAACTAGAGAAAGAGAGAGAGAGAGAGAGAGAGATTGAGATAGAGATAGCGATATAGATAGACAGATAGATAGACAGATAGACAGATAGTTAGATAGTTAGATGGATAGAAACATAGATAGATAGACAGATAGATAGACAGATCTAGATAGATTAGGTTAGGTTAGGTTAGATTAGATTCGGCTAGGTTAGGTTAGATTAGCTAGGATAGATAGATTAGATAGATGGACTAGATAGATAGATAGATAGACAGATAGATAGACGGATAGGTCGATCGATACGTTTAGATGGACCGACAGATAGAGTTGTGTAGACTGATAGGATAGAGAGAGATAGGCAGACAGATAGATAGACCAATGGATAGATAGATCTACACATCATGGATCTATCTACTCCTATTTGTTTGCCAGCTTCTATGTACAGCACGACCACATGTTCAGACGCACATTCCCGTGCAGCTCGCCTTAACGATGGCGCTCCTCATGCAGATCAGGGGCTTCTGGCTGGTGGTCCAAATGTCCAACATAAGCACCTCTGGTAGCTGCCTTAATAATTAAAGTAGGGTTTTGGGTTATATTATACTATAATTATAATAAGGAACCCCCAAAAAAATAGTATAGGTAATTATTTAGGCCCCTATATTAAGCACCTCTGGGTTGGGCGAACTGCGTATCTCGTCTCCCGATACTCCCAGGCTGAGCTCCTCAGGTAGGGCCCGGAACTGAACGGAGTCGCAGGACCACTGGAGTTGCAGAACCTTGGTTCCTGAGTAACTCCTTTATAATAAGGGTACCCGTTTTCCTACTATTCGACTTTAGTAAGGGGGCGCGAAGAAAGGGTACCACCCAGGGACCTAGGCACGATCTTTTGGCAGCCGGAAGCCCTGTGCAAGCTGTCGAAGATGATTGGATGGCTCACGCAGTCCTGCACCGTGGGGCGTCTGCTTTCGAAACCGAGTATTGTGAGTATACCCTAACCCCCCAGGTACCTACTATATAGGGTACTAGAGCCCCTAGGGCCCTATATAGTAGGTACCTGCGGGGTTAGGGATATGTGAGCAGCAGTCTTTCGATAGCTGCCCGGTTCAGACTAGCCTTTGTCCAGAAGGCTAAATGCGTATGAAGACAGGGCATGTGCTTTCTTTATCCACACCGTGAAACAGTGCGTACTAAGCACAAGTCAAGAATGGGCTTGACGACCTGCGCGGGCCAGGCGATGCGGACCAGGTTCATGCCGTAGAACTCGGCGCCAGCCCGCATGTTGCGCAGTATGCGTGCCCGCGCCTGCAACTAGGAACGCTGGACAAGGTCAGGTTCAGTGCACTCTGTGTCGGTCTTTCTTATTCCGACAATACGACCTTGGCTCAAAACCGAAGGTGCATTGTCATGACATCTAGCTGACTCTAGCTCATGTCCTTTCACCGAACTCAGAACGGAGGATTGAAGTGCAAGCCTCTGTCGGAGGGTTTAGGCACAGACTTGATATTGGTCCTCATATGTCCTGATCCCTCAAGTCGGTTGGCACAGCCGACGGCTGCTTCTGTCTCCATCCCAACCGCTATTTCTGCTGAGTGGCGATGGTGGTGGAGAGGACCAGCACGACGACGATGAAATGAGCGATGATCATGAGCATGAGCAAGATGTGTCATACACTTCATCACGCTCTTCATTCAGCTCGTGCTCATCATCTTCATCGCGGCTATGGCGAGGGCAGCAACTTCATCCTAGTCATCATTGTCCGCCCGCTTATCAACATCCTGGCTAACAACGTCAGTGCTCAATTGCATCATTTTCAGCGGTCACCAGTCTTTTTCTTCGCTCTCATTGTCATCGAGATCAGCAGTATCCCTGCCACCATCCTCTTCCTCGCCGTCATCGTAGCCCTCAATACCACTATCTTGAACATCTTCAACCTCAGCCTGACCCTGGCGATAGTCGAGTACTCGCAGTAGTCGTCATCGTAGGTCTTAGTCGTAGTCGCAGGTAGTCGTAGTAGTCGTCGTCGCTGTCGTGGCGGTACTGGTGATGTGGTGGTCGCGTCGTAGTCGCAGTCGTCGTCGTCGTAGTAGTGGTAGTGGTAGTGGTAGTGGTAGTGGTAGTAGTAGTAGTAGTAGTAGTAGCAGTAGTAGTGGTAGTCGTGGTGGTGGTGGTAGTAGTAGCAGTGGCAGTGGCAGTGGCAGAAGCAGTAGCAGTAGCAGTCGACCTTCAAGCCACAAACTGGACTTCCTAAAACCATGATACCTGAAATACTGCGACCGTAGACCATCAACCCTGAAGCCAAAAGCATAGCGGTCGGAATAATCAGTAAGACGACCCCCCTTACAGTCCACACGTACATCTAGGCCGCCACAATCCGGTATATCATAGAACCATGATGGCAAGTGTAATCCGTAAGCCCTAAGCCCTATGGCCTTGCTTCAGAAGCCCCTGAACGGAACGATGACTGCACCCCCTGTACTAACCCGAGGAACCCGACTCTAATTCTTAACGATGCTAAAGCACCTGATCCACTTTGAAGGAGAACGTCTCCACCTCTTCAATGGTGCCTAGGTGCCGAATTCTACAGGGGTTTAGGATTTAGGGATTCGGGCTCCGAGGGTCTCGGAGCTAGGGGTTGCCATGTAGTAACTCAAGGGTCTCATAGTGGTAACGTGCTATTCTTATGGTACCCTTATCGTAGCTTCATAATAGCCGTATCTAAATCCGTTCGTAACCCTTATTGTGACCCAGGCTAAAAACAACAACTTGTGACTTTGGGATTGACGCCCTCGCGATTTGACATATGTGGCCATTGCGGCACATCGCTCCGGGGCTTAACATCCAAGAGCGATTTAGAAGTTTCGGGCGGTTAGGAGCCGGAGTCCTCCCTTGCCGAAAGTAGTTCAGGCTCTTCTCCCAACCAACGTGAGAATTTCGATGCTCGTCTTCGGAGCTAAGGTTGTGAGGTGTGGGTGCGCACAAGGATTCGGAACCATGAGGAGTCCAGATTACATGTTCCATACATGCATATTTATGTGTGTATATATATATATGGAGACGTATGTAGCATGGTATATAAGACCTAAAACATTAACATCAAACTATATGATATATAGCACCGTCCTATATGTCTGACTTATATTACATAACACTATACATCTCATGATATATACCATGCCATATTACTAATACAACACACAATGCACTATAACAGGTGCTATCTAATAAGTATTATGATGTATTATGATGTGATACAGTAAGATACCATGTGTTATAATGTAACACAACATGAAACCATATGTTTTTCATGTTGGTATCCCATAATATTGTATAATAGACTGAGTATCATTTAATACCATATGATGGGGAATATTAAGTACCAAAATGTTGTAAACTAAGGCTACATAATATTGCCTAAACATATTTGATATTGCCTAGTGCGGCTATATAAGCCAATTTATTAAAAATAACGACGAGCCGACTCTACAAATATTGAAAGTGCATTGCATCGTATCCGCAACTAGACTGTATTCGAATGATCAGCATATATATATGCGTATATATATATATATATTTATTTATATTTATATATTTATGTATATATCATGTACAGGCGTTATATAATAATGCAAGCTGTGCTAACTATATGAAACAACTACAAAGCCATGAACATGTTGAAACCATATAGCACAATACATGTGGAGAAAACCTATTGTATGATGTTTGGCCACATAAAAAACTTATATAGTAATGAGTGAAATTCGGTATTACTATAAAACATTATAGCAAATCATATAATCGTATCTAATACTATATACAGATTATATTCGATACTATATAAAGATATATGATATTGCTCAATCCTATTCAATAGGTTTGCTTATGTGTGTATTTCTATATACATATGTATGTATACACACATGTATGTGTATATATATGTATGTATGTATGTATGTATGTATGTATGTAAGTACATAAATAATGTATGTATACGCACACATATATATATATATGCATACACATGCACACATAGTTGTATAAAAACATAAATATACCTACACAGTTATGGAGTGCATTAGGTGCTGTTCAGCTGAGCCTACATCATGGGTTTCCGAGATTTGCAGCATTTCACGGACGTTTCTTCTACGCAGAACAAACCTCCAACTACACAGGATCACTCAAAAGAACACTACATTACATAACACTAGGCAACGCATGTCACAAGGAAGACACCAAACCTCCAATCCCAGTACCCAATTCGAGACAAAATGTCCTTACCAAGAACCCAACCCCAATATCCGCAGCTTCACTTGTGAGAATAAACATACAGCTATTTATGCAGTCTGACAGAAACTACGATGTTCAAACACAGCCGCCAGCCCCAACCCGCCCTCAACCCACCTCATAATCATGAGCCATCAGCCTTAAACCCCGTGAACCTAAACACGCAAATTCAACCCTGAAACACTGCCAATCAAAACTTGAAGCTGAAAACACCGGAAACCTTTCAGGCCTAACACTCACCAAGACCCACACAGATGGGTTTAGGGTTGAGGGTTGACGAAGCCGGCAAGAACCTCTAAAGTGCTTGTAAAAGGCATCTAAACTAGATTAAAACAGGTTCAGAGGGGTCAAACACCACGATTCCCTGTTTTGCTGCCTAGCCTAAGGGCTAACTCTAACTCTCTCTCTCTCTCTCTCTCTCTCTCTATTATTTATATATATATATACACACACACACACATATTATTTATCTATTTATAGTTTTACATATCTGATTACTAAGCTGCCGAAGCACGGAGCAGCATCGGAGATGGCTGCATGGGCCAAAACTCATCAGAGTCTTCCAGCCAACGGCTCTGCACCCTGAGCTCTGTTGCTGTTGAATTTGCTTCTGCTGTTGTTTCTGTTGCTGTTGTCACTGTCGTTACTGTAGTTGGTGTTGTCGTTGTTGCTGCTGTGCTAGTGTTCTTGCTATTGCTATTGCCATGTTTATGCTAATGATGTTGTTGTTGATGATGTTTGTGTTAGTGCTGCAGTTGTTGCTGCTGTGGTTGTGCTGGCTGTTGTGTTGTGGTTGCGATTGCGGTTGCGGTTGGGGTTGTGCTTCTTGTTGTGTGTCTGGTTGTTGTGGTTGTTGTTGATGGTGGTTGTGGTGTTTTTGTTAGCTTCTGTTGCATGTGCGTCAATTTTGGTCTTGCTCTTGCCGAGCGCACGATGTGTGTGTGTGTGTGTGTGTGGGGAGGGAGTCGAATATCTATACGACCTATACATGCATAATGCATATGAAAAGTAGGCCACAGAACATGCTTGTTGGTATTCTTACCGGGTTAGCCTCCGATCTAAGTATAGATTTTCGGAATTCCGCATCCGCCGAACCTCAACTACCCTTCCTCAGCCCCATCATAATATGGGCGGTAGGGGCCATAATCAGTAGAACAGGGGCTGCTACATAGGAGCACCTGAACTCGCTGTGAAGAAGGGACCCTAGAACAAGCTTGATAGTGGGATCCGTGCTATAAGCGCCGTGAAACAACAAGGGAGCCTGAATTCAAAGACCCTCCCCACTAGAAACAACATGGCAGTCATTTATACGTTTCCCATGAACCTTTCAACTCCTTGTCGGAACCCCCGTAGAACCCCGTTGAAAAACTGAGAAACATCATAACATCAGCATAGAAACCTGCAAAAAATCGCAAAACACTAAGGCAAAACCGAAGCCCTCAACCCCAACCCCCTAAACAGGCCAAGCAGCATGAGCCCGAGCTTGGACGCTAAGAGCCGATGCAAAGCCTTCCTGGAGCTTTCAAGTGGAGACAGGCTGGTAACTTACGGTTTAGGGTTCAGGGGTTTAGGGCTTAGGGGTTTAGGGTTTAGGGTTCAGGGTCTAGTCTAAACCCCAAACCCTCAACCCTAAACCCTAAACCCTAAACCCGACGGCTCCAATCGCATCTTGTCAGGCTTTTGATGCTGTGAAAGATCGTAGGAGGACCTCCTGGAGTTTCATGAGGGACATGTTCAGATGTGTATATATATATAGTGTATATATATATATAGATAGATAGATAGATAGATAGATAGATATATATATATATATATATGGGTTAATAGCGCTTAATGAAGCACCCTGGGATAGTGCAGCAAGGGCTGCGTACAGGTCTGCTCGTGGATAGATGTGAACGCTGCAGCAGCTGGTGCTTCTGTTCAGAAAGGTGGTGATAAGGATCATGACGGCCATCATCGTGAAGATGGCCATGATGGTGGCACCACCAATGATGATTATTTTCATGTGCTGATGACGGAGAAACGAAGAAGACGACAATTGATGCCGGTCATGAAATTGCTGGTTTTGATTCGCTGTGTGGTGCCGTCATAATTTCCCTGCTCTTACCACCTTTTTTTCTATCACTACGATCATGATTAATACTACTTTTATCTGTGTAGGGTATTCTGACTCTTCGTGTTGTTGCCAATCTTGCTCTTCCTCCTTCATTGATGGCTGGGCATACTCGCAATGTTGATTCTGATGTTTTTGTTGCACCGGTGCGGGCACCGACGACTACCATGACGATGACGACAACCACCATCACCACAACTACTCTGCCAATGCCTCCTGGTACTCTGCTTAAGACTTTTTGCTGCTTTCTTGCCCAAGCGTCTTGATCTCGGCCTTGCCCGTGCAAGACAGCGCTTCCAAACAAACCTGGATTCAGGGGCCGGACAGCGACAGACACTCAGATTTTCGTGCCTCCACTTGAGGTTTCCTGAGCTTCATGTGTAGATATGTGACTGGTTCGAGCTGTTCAGAACAAGTCAAGTTCTCAGTGATGACCGCCATTCTTTCCACGGCCCATATGAGTCTATGCTTTTCGGTGTCGGCCTTTTCGCCCTTGCTAGTATATAGGTACCTTCAAAGTTTCAAGATAACAGGGTCTTGGGTATATCATGGTGTAACTATGGTAAAGAATAGCTTCGAGAAAATTCCCCAGTTGAGGGACATGCCTTCGCCCTCTCTCTCTCTCTATATATATATATGTATATATAAATATTAAATAAGCAAATAAATACATGAATAAATAAATAGTTAAATACACAATATATATATATATATATGTATATATATATATAATATATATATAATATATATATAATATATATAATATATATATATACATCCATATTTGATAAAGCGGTATTGGGCTCTCCGGGTGGGGCTCTAGGGTTCGACGCTTTAGAGTTTGGGGTTTCGGGTCTACGGGGTCGAAGAGTCCAAGCACTTTCAGCACTCAAAGTCTGAATTAGAGCCTAAGGGTTTAGGGTTTATACGGTTCAGGGTCTCCGGTTTAGGGTTTAGGGTTTAGGGAGTTTAGGGTTTATAGGGTTTAGGGTCTCAGAGCTTGAAGATGTGTCGCCAAGGCGGTCTACTTCCTTCTATGGCGATTTGAAGATCAGGGCAACCGGCCGCACTCAAAATCCCGCATTTCAACCTCCTGAACACCACCTAAACCCCCAAAAACCTAAACGCCACGCCCCAAGTTCCCCTCCATCTTTCAGCTGAGGGGGCTTCTGACAAGCTGATCGCTGGAAGCTCGCGAGCCAGGCAGATAGCCCAGCTTCGACTGTGGACGACCTTCTGGCGCCAAACCTGGGTTTAGAGTGCAGGGTTGTTTAGGGCCTCGGGGTTGGAGCCGTGTAGGGCTTCTGGATGTGTAGGGCTTGTGTAGGGCAGTGTAGGGTTGAGGATTCATGTTCACCTGAACCTCTTCTCCCTTCAGCATCTTCAGGACCGACGGGACAATATCTACGAAGATCCTGCGACGTGCTCTGAAGGAACAGTTTAAGGATGGTCTTTGTGGCTTCAGGTTTAGCTTCGCCTCGTCCTCGGCCCGATCCGTCAGGTTCTCACAGGGATAGTCCTTTTCCGTTCCTCTTTATCCCATCCCCTGTGCCTTTTAAGCCTCAAACACCCAATTTACATTGAACCTCAGCGCTACGCCCCTTACGGCACCCGGACCCTGATCGAACCGTTTAAAGAAATTTGAATTTTGCAATCCTGGAAAGAACCCGCACAGAAACCAAAATCCTTGAAAGCGCCCTGAAAGGAACCCTTACTTCCTTCTACGGCGCTTCTTTAAGCGGTAACGGCACCCTAAACCACTTGCAAAAACCCTTGGACGGAACCCTTGCAAAGAAGCCCAGAACCCCAGGAAAAGCCTCAAACAAACCTAAACCCCGAAATCCTCGAGCTTCGAACTTAAAGGAACCCCAAGTTGACGAAACCCTAAAGCCATCAATATCACACTGCCTTAAACCCTAAAGCCTTCAAGAAACCCTGAGTCTTAAACCCTTATAAGTAGGAGCTGATAGGAACCCTAGGCCAAACAAGGAACCCTCAGCCCTACAAAGGAACACCAAGTCCTAGATCCTAAACCCTAAGGAGCATCCTAAAGCCTACCTGTCGCCGAAAAGACCTACCTGTTTTTGTTGTTCCTTATTACGGTGTCTTTATATAGTTTCGGAAAAAACGCGGGCCTTTTGGGCCACAGGTAAACCCTAAGGAGCATCCTAAACCCTGAACCCAACGGAGCATCCCAAAACCTGAACCCCAAACCCTTAACCCTAAGCCCTAATACACCCTAATATACCCGAATAAACCCTAAACCCTAATAAACACTAAACCCTAATAAGCCCTAAACCCCAATAAACCCTAAGAACGCCTAATAAACCCTAATAGACCCTAATCAACCCTCCCCCCTAACCCCTTTCAAAAAGGAACCCTAAGGTCTAAGGCCCCGTTCTCCAAGGAACAGGAGCCGAAGCCTCGAGCCTCGCCAGATCCCTGCAGCCCAGGCTGTAAAGCGCATGGCCGTCGAGCTCTTCCATGGCCTAGAAAAGGCTTGGCGTAAGATTATCATGAGGGTTTTTATACATACACATATACATATATAGGTACATATATATGTACATATATACATATATAAAGAGAGAGAGAGAGAGAGAGAGATATATATATATAGAGTTTGGGGTTGAGGGCATCGGAATTTAGAGCCTTTCCATTGCCCGGAAGAGGGTTCCGGGTGACTTAAAACGTTCTGTAAGGTGCAATATAGTAGTACAATGCCTGCCATGGCCTAAGGGTACTACGAAGGCTGGATGTAGGCACAGGCGGTTTAGGGCTAAGGGTTGTAGAGCTCTTCCATTGCTGTACGGCGCTGCTTCGAGTTCTACTAGGTTTTATTCCGATTTTGTAGGGCTCCAGCAAGAAGCTTCCTTAAGGTATATAGCCGTGTAACACTTCAAGTCTTTAGGTGTTCTTTCCAATAAGGGTTCGATATGAGCTGTGCAACTGTTCAATAAGCTCGGCTGTTGCTTGGGAATCTGTCAAGGGCGTTGTTCTCAACTTCCCCAGCTTCGTAGACACAAGTGCAGGCCGGAGTACAGCGAGCAGAATAGAAACTGGTCCTGGTACCGGACCCTGCAAGGATTGCAGCCGTGCTAATATTGCTTGTGTCATTCGCGCCGTGCCACTTGTTTGCGTACTCATCATTCTACTTGTTCTCCTTGCTTTTCATGTCCCCACTCCTGCCACTAATTATCGACAGTATTGCAATGATGGCCACTGTTGGGACGATTTAGCTGCAACATTACTTCTCACTCACGTACCTCGGGTGCTCATGGTATAACAACAAACACAGTTGCAACTGACTGTCCTAGTTCTTGTTACGATATAGGTATAGCATGGTATAACCATGATGTAGCCATTAGCACCACCACATCGGAATTGTACTCTCAATGCACTTCACTTCTGATCTCCGAACCACTTTCTTAGCTTTCCATTACAACACTGAGGCCAGAGCTCAACGGCT